GGCTGGGGATTTGAACCCGCCACCTTGGGTGTATGTGGCTGGCGCCTTAGCCGCTTGAGCCACAGGCGCCGAGCCAAGGTATAGTTTCTTAAAAAATACTACATAAACTAAGGAAATTCTTTCTAAAATAGTCACCTCTCTTATGTATCCAGTGATTAAGGAATCACGTTGATTATTTTCTGCTTTAATTAGTATTTGTCAATTCTGAGTTTTAAAACTCTGAGCTTTTGAGCTTTAGAAAGGGAATGCAATACTTTTTGTTCATGATAGTGGTCTGAATTCAACATTTTCTCCCTTCCCTCAAATAAAATCTGCTTAAATTAACAATAAGGAAGTTTTTATAAAGTGGAATAAATTGGCAAAAGCATGAAAACAGGAGGGGAGCACATCAGAGGACTAAAGGTTTTAAAAAGAGACTGGAAATTAGGTTTGTAAAGTAGAATGAATCAGACCCAAAAATAAACTGTAGCAAAGAAGCCACATCCCCAAGGAATTTTGCAATAACAGAAGGCTGTAGCGCTGTAGCACAGATGGTAACTTCCTTCCCATAACAGAGTGATTGACTGATATGGAGAACAGGAACGAGAAGGGAAAGAGATATCAAGACGTTTGATTCAAGAATTACCTGTGCATGGGCTGCTTGAGTTGGTGTTTGTCTGAGACAGAAGCTATAACAATACTCTAGAGAAAGGACATGATCTATTTCAAAGAAGTCAGGGCTTCAGCATGAGGGCAAGTGCCTCAAATTTTCCATAGTTCCCCCCTGGTTTTTTTTTGGGTGGGATTTTTTTTTTGAGTGTGGGATTTGGGTGATCAGCCAACTTGTCTGTCAGCCTGCTGATTCCTGAAATGAGGCCTATTTGCTAGTGTGTTAGTGATTGCAAGCAACCCATCACTCGTGGAGAGGCCAGAATTAACCAAAGCCGAGGAGTCAGGCAGGCTTGTCCTTTCATTCATAAATGTGAGTAGCCATATGCTTGGCACTCCTAGCACAGTGGTTACAGCGCCAGCCACATGCACCAAGTCTGGCATGTTCAAACCCAGACCAGGCCAACTAAACAACAAGAACAACTGCAACAAAAAATAGCCAGGTGTTGTGGCGGGCACATGTCGTCCCAGCAGCTACTTGGGAGGCTGAGGCAAGATCAATGACACCATGGCACTCTACTGAGGGCAACATAGTGAAACTCTGTCTCAAAAAAAAAAAGTGAGTAGACATTCAAGGGAAATACAGCACAGGACAAAAGTATCACAAGTTGGGTTGACACTCTGCTGAACTTAGAATCATGCGCCCATTAAAATATTTCTTGCAGTTAGAAAGTGATTTATAATAAGTAAAACAAAAAAAGCAGCTTATAGCTTTAAAAGAAGAAGATTCTCAATGTTGTGTGTGGTATGGAAAGCCACAGTTACTTGTTTTTGCAGGTTTTTCAAATCTGAAACATATCCACATTTAATAATATGAGCTTTTTCTTCTTTTAAAGATTTGCTCTATACCAGTATCTATAAACATCTATAAAAATTTTTTCCTACAGAATGATTCTGAGCCACACTAATCTCTGTGGAATGTACACATTTGGAATGATTTTTGGAGAAAAGTGAATAGCTTTTCCAAAATGGAAAAGGGAAAACCTACTAAAATTCTATCCAACATTACTGTAACTGAGTTTACAGAAACCAAAATAGTCATGTCTGGAAAATAAGGTTGTATCTTACAGTATATGAACGTGTTAACAATATGTGTCTTTAGCTACTGAGACTTGATGACTTTTTCTTTATGCTTTTACGTATTTTTCAAATTTTCCATAATGAGAAAAACAAGCTCCATTTAAAATATTCTTTTTTTTTTTTTCATTTAAAATATTCTAATGGTCTTTTGAAAGATTGAATATCATAAACTGAGAGTATAACTCATCATCTATGAAAATATTAAAAGTTAATTCTTCCTATTACAAATGGATAAGGAATCCTAAAAATAGCATGGAAAACAGGAACTAGCAACATATATTAAGAACACACCTTTAACATAATGGTAACATTAATCAGACTTTCCTACTGAGTCTCACAATGTACTGGGAAAGCTCTGTTGCTTCTTTCTGTTAGACTTGAATTTAAAGTGAAAAATATATGTTGCTCAATCAACATTCTCCAAATTAATATCTCAACCAGTGAATAAATAAGTAGTATGTTGATGGTGATATTTTGGGAAGATTGACCAGATACCAAGCATATTTTCTGCTTTTGTCTTTTACCCACAAAATACGTTTCTTACTTTAATAACTAAAGAAAGAGTTTTTGCAGTGAGGTTATTTATTTACTTACTTATTTATTTTGGAGACAATATCTCACTCTGTTGCCCTGGGTAGAGTGCTGTGGCATCATAGCTCACAGCAACCTCAAACTCTTGAGCTCAAGCTATCCCCTTGCCTCAGCCTCCCAAGTAGCCGGAACTGCATGTGGAGGTATTTCATTTAATTCTGAGTCCTACCATGCAACACATAAACTTTGAAAATATCTAAGTGGAGAAACTTTAGAACCTTAAGTATTAAATACTACAAGTTTTAAAACAATCATATGAATGTTGACATGATTTAATTTCTCCAAACTGTAGTATGATAAAGAGGTAGTCAGAGGCGAGGAAATGGTAAGTTTATTGCATGCTTCTTATTAAACACAGTAGTCTTGCCTGTTTCCACGGAAGTATGAGGAATAGAAACAATAAACAAAGCCAAACAGGAAAGCTTCCAATTTAACTGACTTCCAGGCAGAAATGACAAGAGCTATTCATCCTGGTGCCTTTGAAAGAGCAGACCTTTTCCATCTAGAAGTTTTCACTAAATACAGAAGTACTCTAGACTAGCCGTGTGTCAACGAAAGGACCATTTTATACGTTGCTTATATGAGTGTACATTGGTAGAACAGTTTCAGAAAATGATTTTATAATATGTATTAAGAGTTTTGATGATGTTCATAGGCTTTAATCCAGAAATTCTACTAGCCTAAGGATATAAAAAATAATAGGTACAGAGATGCTATAATAGTAAAATATAGAAGAATGCCATGATAGGCCAATATTTTCATTCTATCCTGATGATTCTTTTAGTCATACAAATTAGCAGTTGTTATTGTTTTATCTGGCTAGTTTTCAACTTTAGATTTACCCACATGTTTATCATTTTATTTATTTACTATTCCTTCTTGAAACTCAGATGTTTCTTCTAGGATCAAGTTTCTTTATTGAGAATGTGCTAGTAAATTTTACTTTTATTTTTATTTCTTTCTGTTTTTCTCTTTTTTTCTTTTAAGGGGGGAAGTAATGACTTTATTTATTGATTGATTACATTTTTATTTTGTCCGGATTCTTGAAAGATAGTTTTTGTTTGCTTGTTTTGTTTTGTTTTGTGACAGTCTCACTTTCTTGCTTCTGGTAGAGTGCCATAGCAGCATAGCTCAGAGCAACCTCAAACCCTTGGGCTCAAGTGATTCTTTTGTCTCAGCCTCCCAAGTAGCAGGGACTACAGGTGCCTGCCACAATGCCTGGCTATTTTTTTTAGAGACCAGGTCTCACTCTTGGTCAGGCTGGTCTCAAGCTCCTGAGCTCAGCTGATCCACCTGCCTCGGCCTTCCAAAATGCTAGGATTACAGGCATGAGCCACCACACCTGGGCCTTGAAGGATAGTTTTATCGGCTATATAATTATAAGTTGACAGTTATTTTATCTGAGCCATTGAAGATAATACTCCAATGATTTCAGTCTTCAAATTGCAGGAAGTCAGCTATAAATCTTGACAGTTGCTTAATTGTAGGTAATATTTTTTCATCTCCTCTTTCTCATTTTAATAGGTTTTTTTCCTCTTTGTTCTTCAGTTTTACTGTGCTCTGGATTCACTGTGCTTTCTAAACTTGAAGATTAGTGTTAGTCTTGTATCAGTTTGAAAACTTCTTGGAATAATTTTTCCAAAAATTGCCTCTCTCCTCATTCCTTTCTTCTAGGGCTCCAATTAGACTTATATCTTCTCTCAGAGCATTCTTCAAATTTAATATTTTTTTTTTAGCTATATCTAATCTACTTTTCAATCATCCACAGAACAGTACTTCTCAAGTTTTGAAATGAGTTAGAATTGCTTAGAGAGCTAGTAAAGGGCACACAAGCGCAGGCTCATTGAAGTAGGCTATACTGAGGCCCCTTACCAAGAGATTTAAGTTTTATTACTATGATTTTCATTTCAAGTTGCATTCAGTTCTTTTTCAAATTTGCCTGGTTGCTTTTGGTAATTCTTTGTCCTGCTTTTAATTTCTTCCTTTATTCTTGAAAACTATTGAATATAAATATTTTACAGTCTGTGTCTAACCGTTATTGTCTTTAGGAAATATGATTCTGTTTTGTTGAATCGTTGTTTTTGCTAATTTTAATTAATGGTGGGTAGTTTCCTTGAGTGATAAGTAATTTTTCATTCTGAACTTCATGTTCTTTGGAATGAAATTTTATCACTGGGGTTATTTAAGGCTTTTGTTTAAAGGTCTTTCCTCCAGAGAGAATTTGCTTTTGTTTCTGGCAGGTACTTACAGGCAATATTGCCAGGTATTTTGTAAACTTAAATTTTGGCTTGAGCTTGTAGGGCTCCACAGATCTGTGAATTCAGTTCCAAATATGGGTAAAGGCAGGCTTCAGATTAGAAATGATTCTGGAACTAAGACCTATGTATAGGCCTATGTTCCCATGGTCTACCTATGAGGGTTGGGGTTTGTTTGGTTCAGACTTTTTCTGGGTTTTTCCACTTAGGTTTTACCCATCAGGCATCCTAGCTTTGGAAGTGATCTCTGATCCTCCCACTCTCTGTGTTTGCATTATTTAATTGTAACTCCTGACCCCTGCTACTGTGGCCCTTTAAATCCTAGGGTCTAGTCCAACAGAAATCAGCCTCTATCCCCTAGACCAGTGGTTCCCAACCTTCCTAATGCCACGACCCTTTAATACAGTTCCTCATGTTGTGGTGACCCCAAACCATAAAATTATTTTCGTTGCTACTTCATAACTGTAATTTTGCTACTGTTATGAATCTGATAAACATCTGATATGCAGGATGTATTTTCATTGTTGCAAAGGGGTCGAGACCCACAGGTTGAGAACTGCTATCCTAGACAAACTTGGCTCTAGTCTTTGCTCACCCTTGAAGAGCCAGGTGTTTTTATTCCTGGCCTCTGAGGATTTCCTTATTTTCCTCCCAGTACAGGTGTGCATTGATAAATTTAAACTAGCATTTTATGTGTGTGTGTGAGACAAAGTCTCATTCTGTCCCCTTAGGTAGAGTGCTATGGCACCATCATAATTCTTAGGGCTGAAGAGATCCTCTTGCCCCAACCTCCCAAATAGCTAGGACTACAGGCACCTGCTGTGACACCCAGCTCATGTTTTTTATTTTTAGTAGAGATGTGTTCTAACTCTTACTTGGGCTGGACTAATACTCCTAATCTCAAGCAATCCACCTATGTCACCTCCCAGACATAGGTTTACAGGCGTAATCCTATGATTTTTGCTAGGATTACAGGCAAAAATGAGCCATCTCACCTGGCCCAATTTTACCTAGCATTTTTACTTGAGGGGTTTCTGTGACCATCTAACAGGGGTGTCCAACCCCTCTTTTTTGCTGTACAGTGGAAGAATAAGCATTGTCTTGGGCCATGCATTAAATACACAAACACTAACAAAACCTGATGAGCAAAGAAAAAGGTCTGTGCATACTTTTTGTGATATTTGACACCACAGATAAGCAAAACAGTCTTCAAATAATCTGTATGTGGCTGGTGGGCTGCAGGTTGGATACCTCTGATTGTGACATATGACTGGCAGTGGAACATTGAACTCTTGGTATAAGATTTTGGAAATCGGTGGCGCCTGTGGCTCAAGTGGCTAAGGTGCCAGCCACATACACTAGAGCTGGTGGGTTTGAATCCAGCCTGGGCCCACCAAACAACAATGACAACTACAACCAAAAAATAGCCAGGCATTGTGGCGGGCGCCTGTAATCCTAGCTCCTTAGGAAGCTGAGACAAGAGAATCACTTAAGCCCGGGAGTTGGAGGTTGCTGTGAGCTGTGATGCCACAACACTTTACCCACAGTAATAGCTTGAGGCTCTGTCTCAAAAAAAAAAAAAGGGCAGCTCCTGTGGCTCAAGGAGTAGGGCGCTGGCTCCATATATCAGAGGTGGCAAGTTCAAAGTTCAAATACCCAGCCCTGTCCAAAAGCTGCAAAAAAAAAGACAGAATTTAGAAATCAACTATCTAATACTAAGGCAGCATAATTTTGTGATTAGCAAGTTTTTAAAAATTTTTTGTGTTTAAAAGATTTAGTATTGATTTAATTACAGCCAAAAAAGCTTCTTCACCTAAAAATGTTTTCTTTGGATATTAGTAGTTTATGACATCATTTAATTTATATTAAACTTAGGTAATGGAAATTTATTTCTTCTCTTATTTTAAGGAAGTAATTGAGTTTTATGTTCAAAATGAAAATTCAGTGGACAAATGGAGAAAACCTTTAGTGCTTGATAAACTTAAGGTAAGAAAAATAAGAAAATCTTGAACATTGGAACACTCATATGCAAGTGTTTTCTGAGACCTTAGATCTTAGTTTTGCTGTTGTTATGTTTGTGAAGGATAGTTACATCCATGATAACTTTTTCATTAGAAAGTTAAAAATAGACTCTATAACTTACAGATTAGGCTACCTAGTTTTCTATACATGGTATGTGATGAAGGCAGCCTCTTATACCTTTTCAAAGGGAAAAAAAATGTCATCGAAACTACTGATTATTAGCCATTGCCAGATTGAGAGGGAAGTCAGGACCGGATTAATCCAAATTTCATGTTTTTAAACCTTAATAGCAATTCAGGAATGAAATTGAAATGCATAAAGTAGTGTATTTGTGTAATTATACTCAATTGTGAGGGATTTTAAAGTAGTTCTGATTCAATAAGAAGTTCTCAAGTAACAAATTTAATTTTTCAGCCAAGTCCAGGCCAGCTTGGAGGAAAAGGTATTTCTTTCACAGCTAAGAAACTTGATTCATATGAATTAGTAACCACTTAGTTTTACACAATGTAGGATAGTGAAATAACTCTGTAAGTGTTTTTAAATTTCAAAAAGCATAAATGTCAGTGTTTTAAGAAATAAATTGCTTTCGGTCATGGTAAATTATGATCACTCTGGTGTGTTCATCACCTTGACAGGAAATGGCTAAAGCAGAGGGCCTCTGGAACTTGTTTTTGCCAGCTGTAAGCGGTCTCAGCCAGGTGGACTATGCCTTGATTGCTGAAGAAACAGGAAAATGCTTTTTTGCTCCAGATGTGTTTAACTGCCAAGCACCAGGTTACCATATTAATTAAAAACAATTTTCTCTAATATATTAAGCAGTGTTTAAAATTTCTCTATACAACAAGAAAGGTTTCTTTTACAGTCATTGATTTATAAATTTGGTCATCATTTTACTTTTCATTTACTTTGATTTAAATATAAAAATAGATTTGAAGTTCTCATTGAACTATTCTTTTGTTAAACATCCTCATATTAAGTATATTGGTGAATTAGAAGTAGCCATCAAAGGGGCTGGAAATACAAGGATTCTGTTTCTGATTAGGGATTGGAGATGTGTGTGGCTAGTTGGAATGGATAGAGAATTCTAAATCTTTTATGTAGTCTCATTGTCTCTCCATTCATGCACCAATTTTTTATTGATTACCTGCTATCTGCCAAGCACTGTTCTGGATTCTTGCAATGATATATTAGTGTGTAAAATACATAGTGATGCCTGCCTTTAAGGATCTAATTCTAACACTGGGAGATGAAAATTAACAGTAAGCATAATAATAAGAATATAATAAGTTTGAAGATGCAAAGTGCTTTGAAAAAGAAAACAGAGCAGGTAGGAGAGCTCTGGAATACAAATTGCAATTTAAAATAGAATGATCAGAATAGGCCTCATTGAGAAAATGACACTGATAGACTTAAAGATAGATTACGTTAACCGTGCTGATATCTGGAGGAAGGGAACAGCAAAGGGAACAGAACACGCAAATCTAAGGCAAGAATGTGATTTGTGTATCTCGGGAGTAGCCAAGAAGGTCAGTGTGTCTAGCAGAATACAAGTAGAGGAGATCAGAAAAGAAAGACCTTATAGGGCAAGTAAGGGCTTGTATAAGGAACCTTCGAGGATTTTCAGCAGAGCAGTAGCAAAAGATAGATGACAGTGGTTTAGACTGGGGTAGGATCATTTGGAAGGAATTGTTGAAAATAAAAAAAAAAAGGATTAAAATGGACTAGGGTAGCAACAGTGGAATAAATGATTAAGTGGCAGGATTCTAAGTACGTTTTGAAGACCGAGCCGAGAGAATTTTCTGATTGGATATGGGGTATTAATGGAAGGGTCAAGTATGCCTCTAAGGACTTTGATGTGAAAAAATTGGAAAGATGAAGGAAAGAGGCCAAGTTTCCTTAAAGTAAAATGGAAGGAGTAAACTGGAATGTAGTCTACAGGAGGTGTGTTTCAAACCTGGATTTGTGGAAGAAGCTCTTAAGGAACTTATTAAAATGTATATTCCCAGGCTCCATCCCTAGAGATTCTGATTTAGTATATCTAAAGTAGACCCTGGGAATGACTGTCCTTTTTTCCAGATTACTCTGGTTTTTCTGATGCTACCAGTCAAGGACTTGCACTTGATTTGTGGTGGGATGATTATGGGATGATACCCTGAAGTGTCCCTGCACAAGCTGGGCCTCGATGCCTTTGTGTTTATTGTATGGCCTTGATGCTAAAGCTTTCCTCAGAAGATTTAATTTAGGCTTAAGGTGTCAAAAGAGTAGGGCGGTGCCTCTGGTTCATGGGTAGGGTGCCGGCCTCATATACTGAGGGTAGCAGGTTTGAACCCAGCCCCGGCCAGCTAAAACAGCAATGAGAATTGCAACAAAAAATAGCTGGGTGTTGTGGTAGATGCCTGTAGTCCCAGCTACGTGGGAGGCTGAGGCAAGAGAATCACTTAAGCCCAAGAGTTGGAAGTTGATGTGAGCTGAGACGCCACAGCACTCTACCCAGAGTGACATAGTGAGACGCTGTTTCAAAAAATAAATAAATAAATAAATAAAGGTGCCAAAAAGAGATATATGGGATTATATTAGACATCTGAGAGAAAATCACTCTGGATTTAGCAAAGTGGTTCCACACTGGGCTTTGGCTCACTCATTTCATTGGCACTATTAATTTCCAGTTCAATTTTTTACCACTCACATACTCCCCAGTTCTTATTTATTTTGGCCG